GCGTCCTCCCGCACGGGGCGCACCGGGGGCCAGCGCTGCCCCCGGGACCCCCGTCTTTATTTACAGTCGGTGCAGCACGGGGAGCGGGAGGAGGGCCATGGGGCCGGGATGAACCMGGAGGCCTGAGGTGCCAACGGTGCCGGCGCGGCCGCGCTCTGCCCTCGGCTGCAGCCGCGCGGGGTCTGCACAGCGGGGGCTCCATCCCACTGCCCTCCGGAGCAGGAGTGAGGAAAGGCCGGCACGGGCACCGCGCAGGCGAGCAGGCCCGCGGAGCAGTCAGGTACGTGGCGCCCAGAGCCCTTGTCCTTCAGCATGGGGCGCTGCGCAGAGGCCCCCACGCCTAGAGCTCGTCGGCGGGGCTGTGCGCGAGCGGGGCCTCCTCCTGCACCCCGCTCTCCTCGGGGCTCTCCTCCCTGCCCRGCAGGCTGCTGGCTCCCGCGCTCTGCTCCTTGCTGCCTTTCTTCTTCTTCCTGCCGCTCTTTTTCTTGCTCTGCTTCTGCCCTACGCTGGCCGGGTCGCCCTTCTTGCCCGTCCACGTCTCTGCCAGGCAGCCTGGGGGAGACAGGCGCGGAAGCAGACGCGGGGCTCGCGCACGGGCTACGCGGCCACCGGCAGCAGGAAGGTGCCACTTACTTGCGTCCTTCCCTTTGAGCACGCGGTCGGCGCAGAGGAACTGCGAGAGGTCTTCCTGCTGGTGGTGCCGGTACCAGTCCTCGATGACRTCCTCGTACTCCTCCACCAGCACGTCGCACTGGCAGCGGGGAAGAGGGGCGCTCGGCTGCAGCGCAGCGCGGCCGGCAGCGCCCGCCCGCCTGCCCGGCGCCCCCGGCCCGGGGACGGTACCTGCTTCTTGAGGTCGGCCACCTCCGCTGAGGTCTCGTTCCACAGCTCGTAGGGAATGTCCATGACCACCTTGACGCCCTTGTGCACCAGGTTGTGCAGCGTCTCGAACGTCTCCGACATGCCCTGCGAGAGCAGGGCAGCCTCCGTGAGGCCAGCGCTTCCCCTGCRTGGACCTCGGAGCCGGCATCAGCTCCCGGTACACGCGGATGGGGAAGGAGCAGAGGTGCTTTTAGGAGCGCCTTCCGGGAGGACATTCCTCACCTTTGCAAACCTGTTGCTGCCACTCCTTTCCTTGTGCAGGTTGTAGTCCAGGAGCCTCTTGCAGATGTTCTCCGTCACCTCAATTAACCGCACATCCCTGCACAGAGACAACAGGAGGGGACGAGCTCGGCGCCGTGGCCGCAGCCACAGCCTCAGAGCAGGCACAGGAGACAGCAGCGGCGCCCTGTGCTGCCCGGGCACCCCGGGAAGCCAGTGCAGCCACTGGGGAGGTCCCTGTGCACGGGGGTGGCAACAGGAGAGCCCCCGTCACCYGTCCGAGTCACTTACGACTGTGTGTACTTGACGGCCGAGCCCTTCCCATCCAGGAAGCCRTACTTCGTGTCGATCACCTCCTTGGTCTTGCCCGTCTCCTCGAAAGCGGATTTCAGCTCCAGCGCCACGAACTTGCACACTGTGGGGCACAAAGCACAGCCAGGCGTCAGGCTCTGCAGCTCTCGAGCAGGCGGGCTGTTTTGTGCCGGCGACCAGGGCTGCTTTGGAAGAAAAGAGCCGGAAGAAAAGGGAGGCTCCTTAGCTACCGGGCAGGAAGAGCTCCCCTTGCAAAGGAGATGCCTTGAGGCGCGGAGGCTGGAGTCGATCGCTGCGGTGATACAAGCCGGGAAGGGAGGGAAGGGCTCCCCACGTCACCGGCGGTGCCTCCGGACCCGCCAGGCACACAGGCCCGTCCCTTCCTCCTGGCAGAGGACAAGTGTCCCGACAGCGGGACCCCGCGGCGCCCCCGACACGGGGCCCCCGACACGGGGCTCCCGACTCGGGGCTCCCGACACGGCGCTCCCGACACGGGGCTCCCGACACGGGGCCCCCGACACGGGGCTCCTGACACGGCGCCCCCGACACGGGGCCGCGGCCCGACACGGGGCTCCCGACACGGCGCTCCCGACACGGGGCCCCCGACACGGGGCTCCCGACACGGGGCTCCCGACACGGCGCCCCCGACACGGGGCTCCCGACACGGCGCCCCCGACACGGCGCCCCCGACACGGCGCCCCCGACACGGCGCCCCCGACACGGGGCCCCCGACACGGTGCTCCCGACACGGGGCCCCCGACACGGCGC